ACAAAAAAAAAAAAAAAAAGCATGTGAACCAGGAATGAAAAGTTTTTTGTACCAGTAGGGTATTTGGGGGAGGAACAGGCTGCAGGTGATTCAGAGTCTTTGAGGTGAGCTAGTGCCTGTTGTATCCAAGTAGTAGCAAGGAGGTCGGGGAGGCCAAGCAGTGGGAGAGCCGCGCTCTGTGGTCTGCGTGGGAATCAGCTCTTCCTTTGGCAGAATAGCCACTCTTTGAGCAGAGAAATGAACTGACCTGGTGCGTTGTTCTAGGATCACCCTAGCTGTGGGGGTAAAAAGGGAAACTGTGGAGTGTCATGTTTCGGCTTCGGCTCAGTGTTCTGGCTCTCGGAGGCTGATGCCGGGCCGTTATGTAGTGCAGGGGAAGTGGAGATAGGATTTCCCGTGACCGGGGAAGTTCGAGGTGCCGCAGCAGCTCCCTGTGCTTTGTGCGCAGTCAGCTGTCTCCGATTCAAATCACCCTGCCTTTCAGGTGATGTTTACACAAGGAGCTTAAAAATTGCATCCACCTTATTAGAACATTTTCCCCTCTATAGAATGTTAAGATCCATGTCATATTTTAAAACTTTATCTATTTTTCCATTGAAATAGTAGATGATTACTCTGTTCTTGGTATCTCAGGTTTCACCACGACATGCTTAAGTAGCTCTGAAGCCTAAAGTATATGAAGTCCCCAAAGCTGCCAATTTAAATCAGCACTGCTTAATTGATGGCTTTTAAACTGCGTGCTAGGCAGGGAGACTTTAAAAACAACTTCACAATTTTGTGGTATCCAGTTTCAAGTGCCACTGGGCAGTACAGCAACCCAAACTGTAAGATCGGCTGCTAAGAAAGTGAGGTAGATATGAACTAGCTTCCTCGGTGGAATGTTTGATTGATACGATTTTGTTTTGTTATTTCCAGGGGGTGAAAAAGATAGACCCCGCATGGTATGAGAAGTTTATCCACCACAGATTCGGAGAAGAAACACTGTATCGCATAGATCTTTGTTCCATGGAGAAGAAAAAGCAAAGTGATGGTTATTATCACTGTGAGTCTTCAATCGTGGTTGGTGAGCATCATTTAAAATATTATTTATGTTTTATTTCTTTAACATCACTTTATTTTGACCAATAGGGTTAGTCGTATGTTTTCTCGATGACACATTTTTTCAAATATTATGTTTTGGCAATAATAACACTGAGCATTTTTCATATTTGTGTGTGCCTAGATTTTACTACCTGTGGTTTTTGTGCTTCTGTTCTTTAAATGTAATTGTAATGGAGTCCCGGAATGCCTCACGGTTCATTTCAGTTTACTTTTATTTCACGGTTGTGAAGAAAGCGTTTTCTCCAAGGAAGGCCTTTGTGAACTTGCCGTGACCACACTGGGCTTTGTCATGTTTGCTGCTTTTGATTAGGGATACAGTGACTCAGGTCAGGGAGGTTCGCTACGAAGAGAGAAAGTGTAGGTGGCCGCGGAAACTAAAGACTTCACTTTCCTCTGTAACAAAAACATGTTTGGAGCAGAAGCCAAGATTCATAGGTAAAACCATCCAGGCCCCTGACGGATGCTCTGTCACAGGGAACCTGCTCGTCCAGGGCTCTGTTCCAGGTGTGAAGTGTGGGCGGAGGAAGACGCCTCCCCTGAAACAGGGCCGTTCCCACCTTCTGCAAACGGAATGTATCTCACAGGAGCCCGCTCGGATGTGATTGAACAGTACTACTCCAAGCCAGATACTATTCTTGGAAAACTTTGAACTTCACCACCGCTCGACTTCCATGCTTTTAAAGTAAAATGAAGATACCCAAAGGAGATAAATGTATGTCTGTGTATTTCAAGGTCTTCAGCGAAGACAGTTTCTTTCCACACCAGCTCGGAGAGAACCTATGGATATACACTATATACCTCTTCAAATTTTTTAATACTGAAGTTCATCAAAGCATTTTAAACTGTTCAGGAAATACAGTTTTATCCTCGTCTCTTCCGTACAGAGCCTCAGAGAAGTCCTCATTTTATCTTCCAAACAGCTATCTTAGACAGACGCTGTTCCGTATGTCATTTGAGTTTTATATCCTGAAACATTTCACGTCTATTTTAAGGAGGGTTTTCATGCTTGTGGAATATGTGGAGGAGAGCTATCTTCCATCCAACTTTTGATGAGGACCAAACACTTCTGAAGTTCAGGTTCATTGCAAAAGGCAAATTCAGATTCTTCTTGTAAAGTACAAAAGCTGGCTAGCTTTCCTTATCTTCTCTGAAGTTCCTTTAGGCCAGTCTCGGAAGGAAATACAATGCTTCGTTCCCTTTCCCACTCTGATTTAAAAGAAAAAAATCACAGGGGATTTACAGAAGGTATTGTGGGATTGGCATTACGCATTACAGCGGCATTGCCAGTAGGGGGCTCTGTTCTACTCACTGCACAGCCTGATGTTGGCCACCTAGAAGTCCTCTTTGCATCTTTCTAGCTCAGTCTGTGTTGTATTTCCTCTTGGTGTAGGTAATTTCTTTAGCTCTTTCCTTCAGGCTTCTTATCTCTCTCGCCCTTTTCAAATTTCAGGTCATTTTGTTCCTTTCAAACTCTGCCAATCTTGTATCTTCATACCAGTGATTTAATATTTTTAAAAAATTGCCTGTTCAAAATACTCCTAACTTTTTCTGTCACATTTCATGATGCCAGTATGAGCAGAAGATGACATCTGCATCCAGAATTCTCTTTGATATGATCCTAACCCAGATTTAAGGTCTGTTTCCTGAGCCTTGAGCCAGTATTTCCTAACTGACGCATAATATCTGGTCATACTCATGGGCCTCAGAGTGTTATTTCGATGCGGGTATACAGTGTGTAACAATCAAGCCATGGTAATGGGCACATCCATCATCTAAACCATTTATCATCTCTTTTTGTTCGGGGCATTCAAAACCCTAGCTTCTAGCTATTTTGAAACCTACAATAAATTATTGGTAACTCTAGTCACCCTACTTTGCACTAGATTGCACTGGTATTTTATTGTACTTATTAATAGAATCAGGTCTTAAAATATTTTGTGCTCAGAATTCTGAGGTAGAAGTTGGGCTGCAACTTCCTGACATTGTTTATAAACCTTTTTATGTGTGCTAACTTGTTTCGTTTCTACTCCTACTTTCTCTTAGTTCATTGAAAAGAAAGTTTTGTGCTATTGCTATTACCTGTTTGTTTCTTCTTTGTAAGAGTCTTTTGTCTGTGACTTGTAATTTGAGTAACTTCTTTTACTATTAGGATACACAGTGTACAGTGTATTCACTTTTGTTATTCTCTTACTATTTTGTTATGAAATTGTTTTATTTCATAGAAGAGTGCTTTTATATATTTTCTTTATTAATATCTACTTGCATTACATTAAAATAAACAAAAACCACTTGGTATGTAGATACCTTTGTGACTGTTTTGTGAATTTAGTTTTCATTGGTTCTGTGCATTTCCTGTCTTGATTTGTTAACGGTGCATTCTGGGAGAGGCTGATTCCAAGTTGCTCAATCTGCTTTCTCTATTAAACCATTTAGGGCATTTTAAAAAACTCAATGACTATATGCTTTTAGAAAAGGTTTCCAATCTCTTGTTTGTATTTTCGTGTTCTGGTCTTTGCTTCATGGAACTAATCCTTCATTGATGTTTTTTAATATTTCTTTATAATTAATTTCTCAAGTTCTTCCCATGGTTTTAAACATCTCTTGGATATGAATTCTCATGTATGTCTGGTCTTTTGTGGTGCCCAGTTTCTTCCTGTGCACTTTGAGTTTTGTTCAGAGCTCATCTCATCGTGACCTGGATGCCGCTTGTAGGTTTGCATTTGTCTTGGCCCTGAGCCCGCAGGGGGATGTGCCTGAACCAGGTGGGAACTGGCAGCAGCCAAACACCCTCCTGCCTGAGGAGCTGGTGCTTACTCTTCCTGATTCCTTACAAATTGTGAATTTAATCGAGGTCTGGTGGCGCACACCTGCCAGCACTTGAGAGGCTGAGGCAGGAGGATTGCTGAGAGTTTGAGGGCAGCCTGAGCCCACACAGTGAGTTCAAGGTCAGCCTGGACTACATAGCAAGGCCCTGTCTAAAAGAAAAAAAAAATTGTGAATTTAAAGATATTAGCTCATTGTTTGCCGTATTGTTTTCCAATATTCTCCAGATTTTTAGATAGTTTTTAATTTTAAGTTTTAAATTTTTATTTAATTATAAACTTCCTCTTATGGTTTCTTCACTGTTATGATTAGGGTCATCTCCAAGTCAAAAATTTGACACATATTTATTTATATTTTCTTCTAGTTTGTTTTCACGTTTGAACTTTTTTTGTTTTGTTTTGTAGACAAAGGACCTTGCCAGCTGGTCCAGGTTGGCATTGACCTCACTATACGACCCAGGCTGGCCTTGAATTTGCAGGGATCCTACTGCTTCAGCCTCCTGGGGGGTGGGATTACAGCTGTGCATCACTATGCCCAGCCTGAATTTGAGTTTTTAACCTTGTGCAGTTAACCCAGACATCCACTTACTAAAGCTGAGCGTGAAGGAGGAATTTAGTTTAAGGAAGACAGTAATTTTCAGACCGTTTCTGCTATACCTCACCACTCCCTCACTGTGTCTATTAGAGATCGTACATCAGCCCTACCTGCTGTATATGATCAGCACAGGGTTTGTGACTTGCTCATCTTAGGGTGATTTTATATAAATCTGGATTACTGCCGTCTTCGGAACAGTCGAAGGGTGTGGCCTCGCCGGTCGGAGTTTGGGGATGGTGCTAGGATTTCCTGGATGGAGGAGCAGGTGCAGACCTTGGCCGGGGCCCTTTTATCATGTGTCTCCCTCCGTGTTCTCGTTCTCATACAAATCTGCGTAACTCCTGCCCTACCCGCTTGGCTCCTGAGCACGTTGGAGTGGGAGGCCTTCATCTCCTGCCATGCTGCGCCTTCGCATCCATTCCTGGGTGACTTTGCTAGGGTTGGAGGCAACACTCATATTTCCAAACACAGGAAAAGACATAACATTTAGTTGTTGCACAATCAGAACTTGGGGTGATACGATCCCTCCTTGTTACTGGGCTACCAGTCCTTGCACACCTAACTGCACTAATCAGCTAAAATTCAAATCCAGAAAGAAATGTAAAAATCCCAGTGCTTCCTGGTAAGCTAGGATATGGTCCAGATATTCTGGGGCCCTGAAGGCTGTTCTCTCTGGACTCCTTACTGGAGTTGACTGAATTAATCGTTCCTCAGGCAGCCATGTTCCATTTATGTTCCCTTAGGCACCCTTGGTGAGGTGGATGAACATCGGGTGCTTCCAAGACGAGTTTACTTTTAGCTGTCACATACCGTACACAAGGCAGTGGGAATTTAGAAAGGTCTGGGATGTATCCATCCATCCATCTATCTATCCTTCCATAGCAGGCCTGCATATTTCTTTTCTTTTTCTTTTTCTTTGGTGCTGGGAATCAAACTTGGGACCTTGTGCTTGTGAGGCAGGTGGCAGCAGCACTGAGCTAGATCCATAAGTATAAGCAGAGGTGGAAACAGAATAATTTCTTGGAAACACCAGTGTTTTTGGCCAAGGACTCATTATTCAACATTACTGCATATCATCAAGTTTGTACAATGTGCCTATTGCTCTCTTGGGTGGAATGGGCCACAGAGCAGAATACGACATAGTCCTTTGGAGTGTTGTAGAGTCATTGGGCAGCTGAGACTGCGTCTGGGCATGGAGAGGGGCAAAGATCGAGGAATGGGGCTTGTCCGGAACAGTGTGGGCTTCGGTGGACACAGTAGAAGAAGCCTATGATTCCCCTCTGGTAGAGAGGGGATGGGAAGTAGCAGCACTCAGCTGCACCATGAGAAACAGACTGTACAGAGAGGAGACTGGCTAGGCCCAGGTACGGTTTACAGCGGGAGGGAAGCAGGCCACGGGAAATGACGCTGACGGGAAACCCCTGACTGCACCGGCAGCCTTGATAGTTGAGGGAGCTGCACAGGGGGAGGTTGCTGGGTTTGCACAGATGAGCAGCTGGCAGAGGGTGGACGGAGTCAGCCACCCTGCGGCGATGAGTGAGTACT